TCTCTAGCACTGCCAATCATCAGCCCCGAATCCTGTTCCTGAAAAACACAGGTTTTGGCAGAGAATTTAGCAACACAATGCAATTCAGAGGAAAGTTTACTAATAGAGATAAGGTTACAAGTAAGAGAAGGGACATGAAGGACAGAATTCAGAGTAATATGTTCAGAGAGCTTAATGGATCCTTTTCCCGCAATATTAGAGAAACTACCATCAGCAGTCCTTATTCGTGACTGGTGATAATAAGGGGTATAAGAACAAAACAGGGATGCATTACCTGTCATATGATCAGAAGCTCCCGAATCAAGAATCCAACGACTATTATGATCAACATGAAATGCCATACCTTGTTGAGCAACATGACTAGTTGCCTCAGCAGATTGAGACATCACCTTCTGAAATTGCTCATAATTCTTACCGTTTAAACGGTGGTTAGTAATCTGTATAGCTGGGTTGTCTCCGGAAGACGAAGAATAGGGAAGAGGAAAGACACCGGAAACATTACCGGATATTTTTTCAGAATGCTTATTCTCAGCCTCAATATTTTCAACTTCCATTGTTCAAAATAAAAAAGTAAAAAAGGAACTCCAATCGTTCAGAACCAAAAAATCACGAAGAGGAACCAACTGGACCCAGCAAGAAGAGTGCTCCAATCGTGATTTAAAACCCCCAGAACAGGAAGAGGAAGGCCAGGCGAGCCGTTCTGTGAAAGCCGCGTGACAAACGGAGGCCGGCAGGGCGGCGCGTGGCTCACACGCGCCGGAGAGGCAGTTCTGCAGTGGCGGCGCGTGGCGGACTTTCCGGCGACGGGGCTAACGTGGGTCGACTCGGAAATGGCTTCTGAGTCCAATGGTGGCCTTGGTTTCGTGATTGGAGGGGTCCAGATATGGTTTCTGAGTTATTTTAATAAACAGTGAAAAATGGAAAACGGAAGGAAACGTGGAGGTTTACAAGATGACCACAGGATAACCTGCTCTTGATACCATGATGAAATATAAGACTGAAATGTATTTTTCATATATTGATTGACACCCAAAGGGATCTTTATATACAGATTACAAGGTAGTTAAGGAGTTGAAGTAATAAATAAAATACACAGTAACCGAAGAGGCATCACACTACTCAAAGGGACAAGTAGCTAGAAACAAGTAGAAAACTCTAGAATATTCTACAGTTTTCTACTATCACTAATGATTTATGCAGTTTGTCCACTGAACTTAGTGTTCATAAATGTAAAGAAAATTCTCTGATGAATGGTGATGGAGGTGCCAGTACAATTTGAAACAAGGAAAAAATAAGCTTTTCCTCATATCTATGTACTACATTTCTCAGTTTAGTAGTTGACATTTAGAGCATTTCAGAATGTGCCTTTAAAAGTTCAAAGAAGCATACCAAACTTAGATGCAAAAGCATCAAAATTACAAGATTCTAAATGTTTAAAGAAAAATAAAATAACAAAAAGCTTCCACAGACCTTCTCTGCATTCTTCATGGCAGCATATGCTTTGGCATGATCTCCAGTATTGAAAGCTTGCAAATCAAATTCTGCCGGTGAAACTTTAGTGGACCACAACCGCAGGTTTATAGTGGTTCTAGTTTTGTATCCTGGTATTGGAACATCATGAGCAACAGCCAATATATTTTCTCCTCCAACCCACTGTTTACTTCCATTTGGCCCTGAAATAACTTCTCCATAGAATCTAACTGGATAATAGACATCATTTCTTAGGATTTCCCAGGGATTTCCCATCTGTAAAGAGACACTTCAGTCAATGAATCAACAGAAAAACTTTTAACTTATAGAAAAAGCCTTGCAAGGCCCCCAAAAAGAGTAATAAAAAAATTAAAGATCAATGCATAGGAGCCTACCCTAATATGAAAAGTTGGCTTCAAGCCATTAACTATGAATAATCAATGCATATATATAATACCTCAAGCCAGCTTTCAGCAACTTCCTCCTGACCATCCTTTGTTATAAGCTGTTTGAATAAACCATACTTGTATCTAAGTCCATATCCCCATGCAGGGTAATTCAGCGTTGCCAAGGAGTCCAAAAAGCATGAAGCAAGTCGACCTAGTCCCCCATTCCCAAGGGCAGCATCTGGCTCCTGTGGATGGTGCGTGAATGTGATTTTGAATAAGCTCTAAGACCAAAACTATGGCAATATGTCCATAAAACTCTCATTGGAAAGGGTTATGTGGTTTTTTTTAGTCCTTGAGGAGTATGTTTTCATACAAGATGAATACTGTTTACTGTTAAACTTTGATTGTTTCCTAACAATATTCTTTTTAAAAAAGTTCTATTTACAATCCTGGGAATCAAATATGAACCTATTCTTTATAGTCTAGAGAAAGTCAAGCTTATTAGTAGCAGTTAAAGATATATTGGATAAAAACATCTGATATCCTAAAGATGACACACAGATAACAATTTTGTGAATTGGAAAGGGAAGCGTTACTCCTGCTCAACTTACTCTTTCATGCTAGCAGGTTTCTAACAAAAGAAGAACATAAAGCAACAATGGAAAATCGTAATGAGTAGACCTGATTAGCCACATCCTCTAAATTGTGACCCAGCTTTTTGAGAGCCTCAGCATAAGGACCTGAGAGTTGTAAATTCCCAATTGCATTCAGCAATGCCCTACCCTTCACAATTAGAAAAAAGAAAAGTAGTAATGAAAATTAATAAAGCATTTGCAGTAAAAATGACCTCTGCCTCAATAAAGAAAATCCAATATAAACCTGTAGATACTCCATAGACATATAATAAGCTTGTTTAACATTCATCTTCTCATAATAGTCATATGTTGCATTCCAATTTATGATGAGGGAGTCACGGACACTCTCTGCAGTTGCAAGGAGAGCCTTACTGAGCTCAAACTTATCTGGAGAAAAAGATGTGGTGAACACAGCATGATATTTGATGCTTGAAGCAATAGCTGCAGAATCTGGTACAAATTCATTGAAAGTGCCTGCAAGTGTTGAGCAAGAGAGAATTAATATTTAGCACCATATTTGCAGAAAAAGAAAAACAATATTATAGGATCATATTTCTTATAAATCTTGGATTTTCAGTTCAATAGAAATATAACGATGGTGACCTAATAACTTCAAGAGGACACCGCCATATTGGCAGTGATATTGCCTAGAAGAGTTGCTAGTTTGGTTAACTGAATGAATAAACACTTAATTTCTCCATCTAATATAAGGTTCTACCATTAATTTCGTTAAGATACAAGGAAACTTGGTTAGTATGAAAGACAAAACCATAGGAGAAAGGAGTAACAGCTTACTGACTAGTCCAGTATCAGTCCTATAAATCTCATTATACATGATGACCTTCAACAAAACTCATTATCATATAGTATTTATGGCATTTAAACTTTTTTTTTGTTGGATTCTACCAGCATTCGAACAAGGACCATTATGGTGTAGTCCTCCAACAAGCAACAACTACCATATTGACCACGAGTGCTAGTATGGCATTTAAACTTTAAAAATAAGGAGAAATGTCTTTTTTGTTCCCTGTATTTTGGTACTATAATGCCACCACTAAACATCAAAAGGATAAATACATAGAAAAGCAACATTATCTGACTTAGAAAACGAAGAGATGGCTTATACAGCACAGTCACTAAACTATATTTTCCTCAATTAGATTTGACCATTCCAATTTTGGTCACAACTCACAAGAGATTAAGAGTCATCCTTCCCTTGGTAAGTTATAATTCATAAATCTACGTTAGAGTAGTACACCATAAGAAAGCTACTATTTGAATCGGCTAACTATTATGTGCATTGACAGTTTAACTCAATATAAGCTCGAACAGGATCACGGTTCCCACTTTTTACTTTTAACAATCTTTCAAAACAATGCACTAGTAACCAATTAAACCAAGCAAATTTTCCCCAAAAACTGAAATTCTTACAAGGCTAACTGAAAAATATATAACTATCTGAATTATAATCATGATTTTTTTTTTTAATTATATATTAGAATGAAAATAAGTGGAATACAGAAACGGAGTGACAAAGTAAGAGAAAATGCCAACAAGCAACCTTGTTCGGTGAGTGGTTCGTTCAGTTGCTGTTTTTTGTCGCTGGCAACATTCTTCACGCAAAGTTTTCTCATTGCCCTTTTGGAATTTGACTTTGTGAGGACAAACAACTGCCAAATATTGTTTCTTTGAGTGAAACCTATGAAGCTTGATTTGGAATTGGGATGTAAAGATGAGTTGGAATGTGTGCAGGTTGTTGAGAAGGGTAGAGCAGCCATTGCTGCAACGCTTTTTTTCCGCTCAGTATGTGTGTGTCTCAGAGAACGGAAGTAAGACGCAGAACAGAAATAATGTTTTATGTAATGGTCGTTTTGACTTTGTGAGAAAAGAAAAATAAAATGGGTGAAAGAGGGAGTGTGTGTATTTCTTATCCTTATTTAGTATCTTGTATCATATAGAACACGAGCCAAAATATAGCTTGTCGTTATCCTTATACCTTTTGTGACACTGGTTTGTTGGTCTTGGTTCTCCTCCTTCTCCTTCAGTCTTCACAGTCAAGAATCATAATGACTCAACTATATCTGGCATGGAACTAGTTAATGACCAAATCATCCCTATGGCTATGATAGATATTTCTGGATATCTGCCTCACCCATTTTGTCCGAATATTGCAACTTGGACTGCACAACAATAATGCTATTTTTTAACACATGACAAACGAGTGCGGACAACCACATCGTTATTTGCCAATAATAAACACATGATTCGAGTTAAAATCTAAACTTTTTTTTACTAATTGATGTGTTGTGTATGTATGTTGTTAACGTTCATTGAAACCGGAGGCTTGCTTAGACTAATATACTCTTCTTTCAGGAACAAGTTTCCACAACTTCAGCTTTTAAAGGTCTCCCTCCACCTCTCATACACACAAAAATGAAATAAAAAATTAAAAATTGATTTGAGTAATTCCAATCCAAAGTCCCGCACACAGAGATAAAGTGGGGAGAGAAAATTTCGTTTAACTCAATAATTAGTTACATTGGTATCCTTTATCTAACATATTTTTTTCACATGTCCCTACAAGGGATGCCTTAAATGGCATAGTTCAGCAAAGAAGATTAAATAGGAATACAAAGAAACTTTTTTTCACATATATACAAAGAAAGGTCCTCAATTATATCATGTAGCAGCTTAGGCGTTATAATTAAACAAATAGCAGTGGAAATCTCACAACTCAGAACCTTCATGCCCTATTTGAAAAGAAAAGAAAAGAAAAAGTGGCAAACGGCAATATAATGTTCAAGTTTCGTCAGTCTTCAGGGGAGTCCAATTATTCCTGGTCTCAGACTTCTTCCTGGCACGTGAAGCAAAACCAATAACGTAACCCATTAAAGCCCCAAGCACCAGAACACTTCCTCCCTTGACATACCAGGACAAGGTGGATTCCAAACCCTTAGCACCACCGTTACCACTAACAACTTCTCCAGATGCCAGAATTTCCACCGTGTCATGTACCTCACCATCATGGTTTCCGACATAAGAAAGCACAAGCTTCTTCTTTGTAGCCACCAGTCTAGTGTAGCCAAACTCGCCACCACGGTACAAAGACCGTTTTGGTTGAGGAAATATTGGATCATTGGGATGGTCCGGTCTTGGTTCCCATATAGGTTGCCAGTCTTGCCCCGCCATGCCAATCACAACATGAACAGTAAATGCTTCTTTGTCCCCAGTAACACTACCACCACAAGTGAAGTTATTCAGAGGACAAAACCTCTCGTATCTATGAACATGACCCCAAAGTGCAAGCGTCACATTGTTCTTCACCAACAAAGGTTCCAAGTGCTCAAGCATCTTCCCTCTTAACAAAGCATCCCTATTTTCATTGCTTGAAGTGTACATGGGCCTGTGCCCTTGTACTACAACAAAAGGAGTCTTCTTCCTGTCAACTGATTCCAAATCGTGCTTTAAGAATTCATATTGGTTGCTCCCATGAAGAAAATTGGTCTCAGTGGAAAAATACACAAAATGCACTGCTCCCATATCAAATGAGTAATAAAGATTCCTAGTTGCCGGGGCATCAGTTCCGGTGGGTTCTGAAGAGTTCCCAGGCATATTGAACCTTAAACTGTAGGGCACACCGCACTCACCACCCCCGTCTTTTCCATAACTAGCCCAATCAGGCTTCCATGGCTGCAAAGGCCAGTCATACTCATGGTTCCCAATGCAAACATGGTATGCTACTTTGCTCGCAACAGGCTCAATCTGTGCGAAAAAATGGTCCCACAACCATGCATAACCTCTTGCATAACTAATGTCTCCAATGTGTGACACAAAAGCAGGCTTTTCCCCAAGAGCTTCAACATCACGGAGGATCCACTTCATGGTTGATATGCTTTCCTCTTGTGTCCGCAAAAACGTGTTGTATGGTGTAGCCGTTCCCATGTCTCCAAAGAGGAAAGCTATTGTTTCATCCGAATCACTATCCCTCGACACAAAACGGTGAGTTGCACTCCAACCCCCATTATCATTTCCAACCTGAAGAACTGAAACGGTTACAGACCTAACTAGAAACGGTTACAAAACTAACCAGAACAGAAGCGGTTACAAAATTATCTAACTAACGAAAAAATGAAGAAATGCGAATGAGCGTGTACCTTGTAATAGTATCTTTTTCCTTTCTTCAAATTGGTGAGCAATGCGTCGTGAATGTAACCAGGGTCTCTCCAACCGATGCTGATGTTGGCGGGAGCGTCGCACATGTGCTCCCTCTCGTACCTCTTCACACGTGCGAGAGCCACGCCGTCAAGTTTGTCATCTTTTTCACCGTACCTCACGTACGTCTCCTTGGGGTCCCACGTGACGTACATGACACGCATCGCGTCCTCCTGGTCCGCGAACGCTAGGTGGATCTGTTCGGGGGCCCGACCCGAGAGAAAGGAGACCTCATCGGAGAATGTGAGGAGGTGTTTGGTGCCGGGTAATGGGTTGTGGTCGTGGTCTTGACGCTTGGGGTTGATTTCGGGTCGGGTCCAGCGGAATATGCGGAAGGAGTAGTTGGATCGGAGGTTGACGAGTGGGAGAGAAAGGGAGCCCGACCCGGATTGCCAATCTGGGGATTTGGAGAGAAAGAGGTAACCGATGAAGTTGTCGTGGGAGGAGGTGGGTGGGGAGTAGATGCCAACCCAGTCGAGGTCGGAGGGGGATTCGATCCCCGACCACCGTATAACGACGGAATCCCCCGATTTTGAAAGGGTTGTGGGAGACACGGAAATGGAGGGTTTGGATTGGGTTGGGTCGGAGTTCAAGATCAATAGCAGCAATGGAAAGAGGAGGAAGGACAGTGTCCGATGAGGAATCGTCATCATCGTCATGGATTGAATCGAAGATGTGTTGCGGTCAAGTGGCTAATGGATATGAAATTTCATTCATCGTTGTGTTTCCCCAGAGACGTGTCAAGCTAAAACATGCTTCAAAACAAAATGGGATATTCTCTTCCCGTGCGACATTTTTTTTTTTTTTTTCTACTGTACATAACGAATGAGATGTTACACCTATTTTTATATCGTAAAACAGTTTCTCCTCTTAGCTGAGACTCTATAATTATGTTATATTCAAAAATAAATTAGCTACGACGATACGTAAAGATAATTTAAAAGAAAATTTAAGTCACTTAGTTATTTAAGTAAAAGTGAAATATTTGCTTAAGTCTTCCGCTTCAGAATTGAATTATGAGTTAACAAACTGACTGCAGACGAGGTGTTACAATTATCATTATCATTTCTTTCATATATAAATTATTGAATGCTTAAAATTGTTATTGAATAACATTTAAGCATAAAACAATTATAATGGTAATGAAATTCAATCAAACATAAAATAATTGTAACAATTATTAAATGACATTTAGTTATATTAAAATAATAATGAATTTACACATCAATGCATTCAGTCTTTTCAAATGCTATCATTATTATTGTTGTTGTTGCCCTTAGAGTGTGTTTGGTTCAGGGATTTTAAAAAGTTAGCTATGCAAATGAAAGTGGCAAAGTTAGACACCCATGTTTGGTAGACTGATTCTTTCAATTTTCCTATCTATTATATTTGCATAGCCTTCTGCATTTGGTTGTAGAAAGCAAGCATTTGTCACTGTTAGGAAAGACAAGTTGGAGGTGGTTTTTTATACTTAGCCATCTAAACAAAGCTCATGGCAATCCAAATCAAACCATATTACCCTCGTGTAAAGCGCAAAGAAAGATTGAATCATTCAAAACTGCAGAAGCTGCAGCAAGAGCTTACGATGAAGCTGCATTGAGATTCAGAGGTAACAGAGCAAAACTCAACTTCCCAGAAAACGTTACTACAACAATGCGATCACCACCTGCTCACGATTTTCCTATCGCCATTTCCCAGAATACCAACCTCCATTTTCATGCCCAAGGCAACTGTAGATTCGTGATCTTCTTCCCTTTGCTTTGTATGGAAATATACAATTATATATTTCAAATTAATAAAACAAATTCTCAAACTTTATACAAAGACATCCAAAAGGCTTTCATTCACTTTCTCTGTTTCTGCATTTATATTCATTTGATAAGAAGAAGAAAGCTTTACTTGTTTGCCCCAGATGCCTTCTTCCTTAGGGTTAAAAACCTTCCAAAACCGTTGAACAAACCCAGAAAAGAAAAAAAACAACAACAACAACCTCAACAAACCCATTGATTTTGTTCTTTTGGGTTTAGGAAGAGGAAAGAAAAGTTTAAACCTTTGAGTGGTGGGAAAAGGAAAAAAAAAAGATGAAGAGGGTGAAGATGGACCCGTTTGTGCTACCCAACAGGCTCACACTGCTTCAAATATTCATGGTGGTGATGCTTCTTTACATGCTCTTCATGAGTTTCGAAATCCCTCTTGCTTTCAGAGCTGGGTTTGGCTCTGTCTCTTCTGAAAGTGGTGGTGCTTTTGGGTTTCTCACCTGTTGTGGGTGTTCACAGAATGTTGAGGACCTCAAGCGGACGATGCAATAGGCCTGGTAATATTGCATTTATAAATTGTCACCGACGATGGACAAATTTGGATGACAGAAATTACCGTTGGAGGACAAATGACATACACTGTTTACTTGTATTAATAATGGGGTTATATTTGTAAATTATATCTTATTTACCCATCAATATTTTTTCCTCAACCAAATATAGGTTTCAAAAACTTCTATCGATTTGCCTGGTAATATTTGGCTCAACCAAATAACTTTTTTTACATTTTCCTATCAAACTCACTTTCCAACCATTTCCCTATCATTTACATTTTCCTAGTATTCAAAAAATTTCTCCTCAACTACCTCCTTATTATTTTTTTATGAAAGTGAATATCTATGATGCCGAGCATTAACCCCAAGGATAACATTGGTAGGATGTGTATAGTAGACAATGGTACTACACCTACCATCCTCCAACAAAGGAAGATTTTTAATTTATTGAAAAATGTGAAGGGAGCGTCACTACCATTTCAGTAATAATAGTTTGGTTATAGGCTCCGCCAGAGCTTGCTTAATACTACCAATGGGCCCAAAAATTATTATTAACGAAGCCTTATTTTGCCCGCGGTGAAAATGAAATTTACTTAATTTTAAGGATATTCATTGTAACATGCTTTATTATTACATGGGGATGTTACAAATGGACATTACTAGACTTTACTATATTTTATGGGAAATTAAGTATTGTAACATCAAAATATGAATAGACTAGAAGATGGAAATATTTTGTACTCTTCCCACCTTCATCTATATACTAAGGTGGTATGACTTATATTTTGAGATGGTTTAAGGTTTACCGCTTGTATTTCTTCTTCTTTATCTTATATTTTCTTGAATTGATTCTATTTACTCACTGCTTTTTTCACAACAGGAATCTCATAATTTTGTTAAATAAGATACATGATTCCTTTCATGCCCTATCTTTAAAAAAGTAGTCCACAGTAAGATACGGGTTTCTCTGTCATCAAGAGGGTGCCACAGTGTATTTGCAGTATGTACCACCGGTGATATATAGTGTAAAATATAAAACTTATTTTTTTTTCTCTCCGGTAAAATAGCAACTGACGTGACATGATCCTATTCGTCTGTTGTAGCTACACTTGTAGTACCCTAAATTTTTTCCTTCAAAGGGAGCGCATATTCTGTGCTATAGGCGCACACCGGATGCGACGATATATTTACATTATGTATTAGGGGGTAATACATAAAGTAAAATACAAAAGTTATTTTCTTTCTCTCTCTCCGATACAATAGTAACTGAGATGACACGCTCCTACAGGTCTTATATATACGATGTTATTTATTGTGAGCCGGGACCACTATTTTTTATGTGGTCCTTTAGTGTAAATAGGAGAGTAAAATTGAAAAAGAGAGAAAATAAGAGAGATAAAAAGAAAAAGAAAAAATTGATGATGTGAGAAGAAGCACCAAAAAATTCAGTGGTCCTGGACCATAGTAGATATTTTCCTGATATACCCACTCCCATACTACCCTAAATTTTTTCCTTCAAGGGAGCCCAATTTCTACTGGCCCCAGACTTCTTACTAGAACGTGAGGCGAAACCAATAATGTAGCCAATAAAAACCCCAAGCACCAGCACACTTCCTCCCTTCACATACCAAGACAAGGTGCATTCCAAACCCTGAACTCCACCTTTAGCACCATTGACAACTTCTCCAGATGCTAGAATTTCCACCGTGTCATGGACCTCACCATCATGGTTTTCCACATAAGAAAGCACAAGCTTCTTCTTTGTAGCCAACAGTCTAGTGTAGCCAAACACACCCTTACGATACCGTTTCGGCTGTGGAAATATCGGGTCATTAGGATGGTTCGGTCTTGGTTCCCATGTGTTTTGGCTGTCAAACCCTGCCATTCCAATCACAACATGAACGGTAAAAGCTTCTCTGTTACCGGTTACACCACTACCACAAGTGAAGTTATTCAGCGGACAAAATCTCTCGTATCTATGAACATGACCCCAAAGTGCAAGTGTCACATTGTTCTTCACCAACAGAGGTTCCAAGTGCTCAAGCATCTTCCCTCTCAACAAAACATCCCAATATTCATTGCTTGTTGTGTACATGGGCCTGTGCCCTTGTACAACTACAAAAGGGGTCTTGCTCCTATCAACTGATTCCAAATCATGTTTTAAGAAGTTATACTGGTTGCTCCCATGAAGGAAATTGGTCTCCGTTGAAATATACACAAAATGCACTGCTCCCATATCAAATGAGTAATAAAGATTCCGAGTTGCTGGGGCTACAGTCCCAGTGGGTTCCGAAGAGTTCCCAGGCATATTGAACCTTAAACTGTAGGGTACACCACACTCACCACCCCCATCTTTTCCATAACCAGCCCAATCAGGTTTCCATGGCTGCAAAGGCCAGTCATACTCATGGTTCCCAATGCAAACATGGTATGCTACTTTGCTCGCAACAGGCTCAATCTGCGCGAAAAAATGGTCCCACAACCATGCATAACCTCTTGCATAACTAATGTCTCCTATGTGTGACACAAAAGCAGGTTTTTCCCCAAGAGCTTCAACATCACGGAGGATCCACTTCATGGTTGATATGCTTTCCTCTTGTGTCCGCAAAAACGTGCTGTATGGTGTAGCTGTTCCCATGTCTCCAAACAGGAAAGCTATCGTTTCATCCGAATCACTGTCCCTAGACACAAAACTGTGAGTCGCGCTCCAACCCCCATTATCATTTCCAACCTGAAGAACTGAAACGGTTACAGACCTAACAAGAAACGGTTACAAAACTAATTAGAACTGAAACGGTTACAAAACTAACTGCATCTGAACGGTTTACATTCACCTTGTAATAGTATCTTTTTCCTTTCTTCAAACTGGTGAGCAATGCGTCGTGAATATAACCAGGGTCCCTCCAACCGATGCTGAGGTTGGCGGGAGCGTCGCACATGTGTTCCCTCTCGTACCTATTCACACGTGCGAGGGCCACGCCGTCCAGCTTGTCCTCTCTCTCACCGTACCGCACGCACGTCTCCTTGGGGTCCCTCGTCACGTACATGACACGCATTGCGTCCTCCTGCTCCGCGAACGCTAAGTGGATCTGTTCGGGGCCCCGACCCGAGAGAAAAGAAACCTCATCGGAGAAGGTGAGGAGGTGTTGGGTGCCGGGTAAGGGGTTGTGGTCGTCATCTTGACGGTCGGGGTTGACATCGGGTCGGGTCCAGCGGAATATACGGAAGGAGTAGTTGGACCGGAGGTCGATGAGGGGGAGAGAAATGGAGCCTGACCCGGATTGCCAAACTGGGGATTTGGATAGAAAGAGGTAACCGATAAAGTTGTCGTGAGAGGAGGTGGGTGGGGAGTAGATGCCAACCCAGTCGAGATCAGAGGGGGATTCAATCCCCGACCACCGTATGACGACGGAATCCCCCGATTTTGAAAGGGTGGTGGGAGACACGGATATGGAGGGTTTGGATTGGGTA